GATTGTTTTCAATGTCACCACATAATAAATGGCCGAACGGGTTACATCTGCTCAAATGGCAATAATAGTACAGTCAAACCGAATTTTCGTTATACCGAAGGAATTCTGGCTCCCCCCGTTTTCCCTTCGTTATTGAAATGTTGTCAAACAAAGAAGTGAAATATTTCCGAAGCCGCACAAGGCCACTCAAATTTGACTTCAAATTTTGTTATCTACTTGCCCCTTTTTCTCAATTAAGCGTAATTCTTTGTCAATGGCCCGTAAACGATGAAGGAGAATTTTACTTTTTCACATCCGTGTCGTAGAGAGTCGGCGGATTTAAAGCATGCCTCGGGACTTTGTTCAACAAAAACTTATTAAGCAATTAAAATCACAAGTGGCACTTTGGCACAGAAATAAGAGAAATTTGACCAGCTTTAATTATTTCAGTTCTAAAAAGAGTTATTAGAAACCTCTGCAAAGAAATGCTTCGCATGCCTTTCTCAACTTTTCGATGAGATATTACCGGCTAAATAGTAAAATTCCCTCGTTATAACGAATTTAATAGTAAAATCTCTTTATACCGTTACCGAAGTCCGATGCAGGATTTTTACATATGCTACTAATCTCTTTATTATTATACCAAGGTTTATCACGAGATAAAATTTTAGAATAGTGATTGGCTGTAGCATACGATTTTTGGTCATGATTTTTGATCGCCGATATATGTATCAATTGTAGTATTTTAAATGCAGTGATCATTATGATATTCGTACATATTGTTTAATTATGCGAATAGATTCATTTGTTACTGATTAGTATAATTGTTTAATTATATTCAAACAAAGATATTATTTACATAATAATAAGTCTGTTTATACCGAATATTGCTTGACCTTAGGGCCTAACTTTGTTAATAGATACCTCCCCTGACACTTCGGTATAACGAGGTTTGACCGTAATAGTTGTAAAGTCCATTCTAATTTGAAGTAACAGGCTTTTTTCTTGAATATATAGCAATGGACATGTGTTATCAATAAAGTTTTTTCCAGCAAGTAGCTCTTGGCACCATCATAATCACATTTGACTATTACTATTATTATGTATATAGATTCAACAGACATCAATTTCTTCCATCAAATTTTTTGTTCATGTGCTGTTGAAGAGTTAAATGTCCCAATTTTCTATGCCACAACTTTACAACAAATCAACCAATGAACGAATGTTACTGTTTGAAAGATTAACATCAAGCAGTGTATATTAATATTAATATGTATAAATAACACTAATACTAATAGAACTCTGGTTGACAGTTTGTAAATATACTTGTTACAGCAAATGTGTTATAAAACAAACCTCATATGAGTCAAATATTCTAATAAAAAATAAATTCGCTAATTACTAATATTAATAAATTTAATGTTAAGCTTTTCCCAGTGCCCCAGAATTAACAGCTTTCTTACTCAGAACCTTTTCATTACTATCTGTTTATATTCCAAGCCTTTTAAGTTCATCTTGTGCCCCAGAATCTCCTTGTTCAGCAGCCTTTTGATATAATTCAACAGCTTTTGTTTCATCTTTTTTGACTCCAATTCCACTTTCATAACATAAACAATAACCAAGATTGCATAGTGCTCCAATGTCTCCTTGTTCAGCTGCTTTTTCATACAATTCAACAGCCTTTGTTTCATCTCTTTTGACACCAACTCCATTCTGATAACAGTAACCAAGACTGCATTGTGCCCTAGCACTTCCCTGTTCAGCTGCTTTTTCATACCATTCAACAGCTTTTGTTTCATCTTTTTGATTCCAATCCCACTTTCATAACAATAACCAAGATTGCATTGTAATTGTGCTCTAGCATTTCCCTGTTCAGCTGCTTTTTGGTATAATTTAACAGCTTTTGTTTCATCTTCTTTGACTCCAACTCCATTCTGATAACAGTAACCAAGATTGTATTGTGCTCTAGTGTCACCTTGTTCAGCAGCTTTTTGATACAATTTGACAGCTTTTGTTTCATTTTTTTTGACACCAACTCCATTCTGATAACAGTAACCAAGATTACGTTGTGATCCAATGTCTCCCAGTTCAGCTGCTTTTTCATACAATTCAACAGCTTTTGCTTCATCTTTTTTAACTCCAATTCCACTTTCATAACAGTAATAGTAACCAAGATTATATTGTGCAATTGCATGTTCTTGTTCGGCTGCTTTTTGATACAATTCAACAGCTTTTGTTTCATCTTTTTTGGCTCCAGTTCCATTTTCATAGCACAAAGCAAGATTATATTGTGCAACTGCATGTTCTTGTTCAGCTGCTTTTTGATACCATTCAACTGCCTTTTGTTCATCCTTTTCTATTCCAAGTCCAAAGTAATAACAGTAACCAAGATTGCATTGTGCTCCAGCATTTCCTTGTTCAGCTACTTTTTGATACAACTCAACAGCTTTTGTTTCATCTTTTTTGACTCCAATTCCATTCTGATAACAGTAACCAAGATGGCATTGTGCTCTAGCACTTCCATGTTCAGCAGCCATTTGATATAATTCAACAGCCTTTTGTCCATCTTTTTTTACTCCAATTCCCATAATATAACAATAAGCAAGACTACAGTTTGCCATATTATAACCATTATCTGCTGACAATTGATACCAATAAATTGTTTGAGTAAAACTTGTGGTAACTATTATTCCATTATTGTAAAAAAATCCAATGAGCCAGCAACACTGCCCACAGTTATTATGAGACTTAATTCTGGTAAATAATTCAAACTAAAAATGTTGATTTTTCTTTAATCAATCCTTAATTAAATCAGCAATTTGTTTTCCAGATTTTCCTTGTAAGATGTTTTTGTTATAAATCTGTAATAGCTTATCTGAAAGTTCATGCGTTTGTATTGCATCTACTCCAGCTTCTCTTGAGAATGGAGATTCAATTCTCTTTGTTGTTGTTCAATTATTATTATCTTTAATTCATCATAAATCTGTTCACAAGAAGGCCGTTTCTCAGGATTATCATCCCAACATATTGAATATAATTCAATATACTGTTCTGGTGTACCTACAACAGGAGACTCATGACCACCATTAAGTCTATAAAGCTGTATATCAATATACTGTATGTTAAAAGTCCTTTACAGGGAGGCTTTCTGCTAGATATTTCCCATAATACCACCCCCCAGGTTAAATATGTCTGATTTCTTATCCCACTTGTGAAAGTTACCATTAAAGCATCTGGAATCAAGACATGCAGAATTTCCATCATGGCATGAGGTACTCTTTTGGCTTATGGTCACATCAGATAAACCAAAATCAGTTATTTTAGCCTTGCCTGCGTGAATCAAGACATTGCTGGAAGTCTTAAAACGTCGAAAATGATATTAATAGTAATATTAAAACCACATGCTCATATAATAACTTTATGACGTTTACTGCCTTACTATTACCAGGTCTTTATGCAAGATATTTAACTTGTGAAGATATCCCAGTCCATTACTAATATCTATACCAAATCGACATCGCTTTATCCAGTCCAATTCAATAGATTTTTTTAAGTAGTTTCTCAACGAGCCCCCCTCCGCATACTCAAAAACCATCAAATGTCTTTCGGATGAATCTGTCGGTTCTGTTATTGAAAACAAAAAAATCAGTATGATAAACAATGCTGCTATGCATAACGCACGTTGGCTCTAACACAGACAATGTAAATGCGACTGAAATCCCTCTGCTCACTCCGAGGAATCGGATAATGTTGGGATGGTCATCAACTTTACGATGAATTTTAAGCTAAAAATTGTTCCTTTTATTAATCATATAATATAAAATATCGGCGTCATGGTTTAATAATAACCTCTTTGACAAAGGCATCCATTATTTCCTCGTCACTTTGATAACCATAAGTTTGTATGCAACTAACGATTCCGTATCCACCATTACCAATGTATTGTATATTAGTGAAGTCATCGAATGGATAAAATCGAATATTTTCATCTTGAAGATTTTTCGTTAGCCACTCCATATCAGAATGTGTCTGTCTGAAGCAGAAGATTCATATATATATGCAGAGGATTTGTATAACACAATATTGATACGTACTACGGGAGAAACCAATCTCAATATTAATATCATCAAATAAAGGTTACAAGAGGATTATGGTGGAAGAATGGGATGCCATTCCAGACAATCTTCAATTAATTTATTATATCAATAAAATGGACCCTTGATCTGAACAGCTCACAATACCACTTTGGAATGAGACGTACCTGTAAAGAACTCGTTTTCGGTTCGATCCACTCCCGGTCATAATGGTGGACGCCTCTCATATTGGTGAGCAACGCCAAATTTATGTATTGTCATTTGGATAATTCTTCGGGGTATGAAGAATCGAACGTTTTCGACAAGTTATCAGAAAACTTTGCAATTCACGGTCAGACTACGGTTTTATTAAGAGAGGTAAATTAATTGGTTGCTATAACCATTGAATTTCTATAGTTCACGCATTACTATTTGACTTACAGAATGTGTCTAATAAGAACGTGATTTTATACGTATCCATTATCAAGTACACCATTTAATAAGAGCCATTACACTGCGAATAGAATAGTAAAAGACGACGACTACAGCGTTTGGTCTCTCCTAGAACAATATAGTTTTACGTTGTAGAATCAGAATTTATACAAATAACATTTTAATAAATAGTTATAAATAGAATACATTGTGATATTATCTTTCATTAAGAATAACTATTTCTAAGAGGTACTATCATATATATACAATAACCATCTACTCGTTGAGGAGCAAAAGGCCAAAACACTTTAAGAAAATAACTTGTGTAAAAAAAAAACATTTAAAAGTTCTATTCTATGGAATTTATTTATATACGAACAAAACTATCGCTGGAGCCTACAACCGGCAGGTAGCGTAGCTCATCAAAGAAGTTCTAGTGTTATAATTGCCGTTGTGTTCAGCTTCGATTCATATATTTGGACGTTGTCCACATTGACTCGAAACATTTGAACAAAGTCAGATATCTGGGACCCTCAATCCCATATAACAAAGCCGTGTTCTCCTTCTAACACAGGATCCTCTCTTACTGCTAGGCGATGCTGTCCACACGTCATCATGAAAGTCCTTGGCATATTGCCATCCTTCCGCATCTAACTGTGACTCGCTCATGTCTATTACCCACTTAGTATGTGCCCATCCCAAGTTCTTATACGGCAATAGTAAATTCGCTCTCGTCATGGGCTGTCCGTTCGGAAGTGACCATGGACCACAAGGATCACTCGGTAGAAGTGTCGATTCCGAGAAGTGACGTGAACCTCGAAAAACGTTGCCTGCTGGCGCACGCTGATTCTCATAAACTATCAATAGTTTCCCGTTATGATATGGAAAAGCCGCTAGTTAATCACAGAATGAATAACTTGCATTAGTCGAATGTATCATGTTATAAACTATGAAATGATTGTATTAAGCTTACGCTCGCGTTCGCCGTTTCTTTTCGTCCATTTGCGTTCTCCCTCCTCCAATGTCTCACACAAACGCCGGTTTAGAGATTTAGCTGCAATATCATATGCTGTGTCTCCGTGCGCGTTCTTGACAAACGGGTTTGCATTCATTTCCAACAAATATTCTATAATTTCCAAATGTCCTCGTGCTGCAGCGTTCACTTGGAAGTAAAAGAATATAGTTATTGCAGACAAGCAAATAGCGTCACATGTTTTTCGCTCACGAATTACCATCCAAACTTACTCAAAGGGGTGAACCCTTGGTCATTTTCCATGTTGACAATGGTGTCTGTATTTTCAAGTAAATGCATCGCGATCCGAAGATGGCCCTGTGCCGCAGCATTATGAAGTGCAGTCCATCCATCAGAGTCTTTCCGATTCACTTTAGCCTCACGATCAAGCAAGAAAGATACTATGCATGCATAACCTCTGAACGAAGCTTTCATAAGTGCTGTCTAATACATGTAAGGTAAATCATTTGAGTATTTTATTGATAATAAACATGACATCCCCTCCCCCCACCATTCGTCATATTCAAGGTCATTGCTTACTTCTCCAGTAAAATCTTCCAAATCAACGACAGCGCCTGCGGTATCGACAAGCCATTTTACCACTTCGTAGTGGCCTTTGGAAGCCGCATAATGCAACGGCGTGAGGCCAGTAGTCGTTTTCATATCGTTTGCAAACATAAATAAATCTTCGGAACGTCCTTCGCTATGAAACTGGAATAGTTCTTGTACCCTATGTAAGTCACCAGCAGCAGATGCCTCATGTATATCCAACTCTCGACTAATGAGATGACATGCTTCTTCTCTCCTGTCCGATACATCTTTCGCATATTTCATATGACAGCATGTTTCGAAACAAGCGTCAAGTCTCCGGCATGACTCGAGTCGCAAAACTAAAGCGAGCAAATGAATAGGTTGCGCGCAGATGAAGGTTGCTCTCGATTCAATAAGATTATCCAGTGCAAACTGAAGAAGTTCATCAAGGTTCAATTCGTCGGATGCTAGCAGCAGTTTGAAAATAGTAGAATCGTCGCATTTCGTTATATCCACATGCCCAGTGTACAAGTATCTGCAACGCCAGAAAAAAAAATAGAAATATTGGTACTCGGTTTTTCTTGGATGATAATGGACGTGAGGATCCTCGCACTTACTTTAGAACAATTTCAAAAACCTCAGGTTCAATGTTCGGCTTTTCAAAATAGTAACATTCATCAGTCTTTCTAAGCCATTGTTCAGACAATGCAGCTTTAAAGTAGCTCGATCGAGTTGTTAGTATCAATGTATGCGCTTTGAATTGCTTTCTGTTTTCTCCTTCACCAGCATGAATAATTAAATCATACTTTTCTCCATCCTGTAACATTTTAGCGAAATCAGAAGAAAGCCGAGAGTAGAATTCGCTTGACATCTTAATCTCCCTTTAAAAGATGAAGATAACATCAAGGTTTGTCCTCTTGACAAAAATAAACCAATTTTGTTCATCAATATGACACAAGCACCTGATTAAACCATTGTGTATCTTGTAATCATAATAAATTGAAAAATCAAGCCGCCGAGCCAGAATTTCGAGTTAAATATCGAACGGAGCTCATAAGCATTTTTTAGAGCGCAAGTGTTGAAGTGATCTTTTAATGTAGAATTCCCATGCGTTAAAAAACTCCTGTTACAAAAACAGCGGGACGTGGGAAAAAAGAGTTTAAAAATTTTTTCACCAATGCTAGCACTAGTGTATCATAGCACATATTAATTACGCTTTTCTTGTTTGAGGGAACAAACACGTTAATCTTAACTGTACACGTTTTTGATAAACACGACACGTTTAACAGATAAGCGGGCGCAGAAAAATCAATTGGAATCGCATTATGACTGCCATAACGTTAATTATTATTTAAGAAACTTTTTATTACTACAGTATAGTATATGTTAGCTCTAAAAATAACGCCTTTTAATTCGAATTCACAAAACAAGCCGTTATAGTAAAGTTAACAGGAATAGTTAATAACTATAACTTATGAAAGTCGTAAAGACTTTATGCACAGTTGAGTTTTCGGTACGAAACATTGCTAGTAAGATCAGTTACGGTTAACGGAAGCACACATGCAAACTCGATAAGTCGGTCTCTCGATGATTCAATTTTGGCCTAAAAAAGCCAAAACTTCCCAAGCTCTTCTCTCAATTTTAATATTTAAAATCCCTCGATAAGTCGGTCCACCATGCACGACCGACTTATCGAGTTTGCATGTGTATGTGTCGACAATTGAATAGAATAAAAATTTTGTTAACAAACGATTCGTGTAATATCCAATGTTTCGAAAGATTCGACTCTATGTTTTCACTTAGCATGAGTGCAACATACTTAATACTGTACAGTATAAACAAACTTTGAATAGTGCTTGGGGCATGTTTTGGCTAATAAATACTAAATCTGTTAATTTGGTTCTACGTCCGTAAAACATATAAATGTTTGGTATTTTTGTCTGGAATGCTTAATCAGCTGTACCTATTATCAGTATTAGATTTAATTTTTACCGTGTATTAGTATATATTCTCGTTAAGGTCAGAATATAAACTGATTTTGGATCACGAGAAATTCGCCAATATCGTCCAATCAATGATCGCTCGCATAGAATTTCGCCTTAATGGCTCTCTCCGCGACCGAAACTCCTTCTGTAGCAGAAATAAATTTACGTCGACTATTATCTGTTTGCGAAAAGCAGGCCGCCGAGGAAGGATTGATTCGTGGGTCCAATAAGCTCAAATTTGTTACTGTATGTACTCTCAGCGTCCATTCCAAATGTCGACATACAATTCTTAATTAAAGTGATTTCCAACAGAATATAAAACATCTCGTGAGGTTACTGGATCAAGTCGAAAAGGAAGAAACTAAGTACGTTTAGTCAAATAGAGTGTTTTTCTTTGAATTATTTTTCCTAACTCTTTCTTTGGTTTGGGCAGCTTAGACAGGACAGCCGTAAGCGAATACTCGCGAAAGATCAGACGACTAAACGATATTTGTGATGAATTTAAATTGGTAATTATGTGAAATATTTAATATCGAGTTACACTATTTATTAGAAAACTTGGCATTTGTTTCTGTAATTCTCGCTTTCAATTCACGCTTACTTGTCGTTTGCAATGTAGATATCGCCAATAAATCGCTCTGATTCTCAGGCTCGCTTGGTAAATCACGCCAAGCAGTCACAGAGTGAGAAGAACAAGGAAAATGAATTGGAACTGAAAATGGTTCGACAAGCTGAAAGAGAGCTAAAAGATGAACTATTACAGGTGTGAATACGATTGCATGACATTGCAATTGTTTAATGTGTTCTAATGCCATATTGGATTACTTAGTCTCGCAGAACGCGTGGTCTTGACATAGATGTTGACAATTCTCAGTCATTGCAAGAGAAACGAATGGGTATGTTTTCTATAGTCTGCTATTGCCACGCAGCATTTTGTCCCATCCATTATTGCTTTAATAAAATGGTTTTCGTTATCAAGATCTCTTTTCATCGGCAATTTCCAACCGTCGCAAGAACTCTCAAGGGACGTCAGACGAATCAACGTCAACTCAGTCCGTACTACAACATCATCGACAAATTCAGTCAGAACTGACGGATGATCTAGTCTCTCTCGCCGAACGTCTGAAAATGAACTCCCTTGCATTTGGAGATATACTCGCGCGTGATGAGAAGGTCATTGACGATGCGCAAGCAACCGTGAACGGCAATTTAGATAGGTTACGGAACGAGGGTGGACGATTGAGGCAGTATACGGTACAATCGAAAAAGACTACCTGTTTTGTTTGGGTAGTGGTGATATTTGTATGTGTGGTGTTTGTATTGATGTTTATGCTCATCAGAGTTTTTCCGAAATATGGTTAAGGAAAAAGTTTATTGTATTATTAGAGAGCATGGCATGCATGATATATATTATTGCGTTCGTTTAACGTTAATTATCTATAACTAATTATTAACCATTAGAATAATGTAAAAAAGGCCAAAAACGATAAATAAACCAATTGTCTAATTACGATGTTTCACATTAATGAAAAGCAAACTCTATGCGTATCAGTCTTATTGTCCTGTTAATACTCGACTGCCTTCTTAATAGCTTCAAAACATCGGGTCACGTCAGGCAAGTAAAACTTCTCAAACACAAGCGGGAATGGGGTACTACAAGGATAAAATGTAAATAAATTCATACACCAACATGGGATTATTAGTCTGCAATCCTAATCAGACTGAGATATACTTACTCCCATCCACAAACTCTCTGTATCGGCGACTCTAATCTCAGAAAACATCTCTCCATCACACTAGCCGCAATCTCGGCTCCAAATCCAGCGGTCTTTGGTGCTTCATGTGCTATGACCAACCGACCCGTCTTGTCTACCGACTTTGCAACGGTGTCAATATCCCACGGAAGAATTGTTCGAAGGTCAATTAATTCGCACGAGAGTCCGGAAATATTTTTCTCAGCCATCTGAATGGCTGTTTCAAGGGTGTAGATTTGAGACCCATATCCAACTACTGTGACGTCTTTGCCTCGTTTGAGCACTTCTGCTTTGCCCAAAGGGAGTTCGTAATCGCCTGTTGGAACTTGTTCGGCTGAAGTAAAACGAATACATTGAGTGACTACCGCAACAAAGAAAGCACGCTTATGGATATATTGCAAACCGCCATAAAATATCGTATCCACCAATTAAAAGCATACAAGTTCAAGCTTCATGACCTCCAATATTACCAAAACCCATATGGGACAGACAATGGTTGCTTGTATCCCATTTAATGATACTTTTAATCAGTGGATCTCCATGATATTACAACCACCGAGATACCCATCATAATAATTACCAGCTGCACGGTAGAGAACCTTTGGTTCAAAAAATATCACTGGATTAGGATCTCTTATTGATGCCAGCAAAAGACCCTTTGCTTGTATGGGACTTCGTGGAATTACGATCTAAAATCATGATAACAAAAATCATTCCAATAAGTATCAAACCCTATCGACACATTCTACCAAGGGTCAACGTACTTTGAGTCCAGGCGTGTGTGCAAAGTATGCTTCGGGCATTTGCGAATGGTAATGTCCACCATGTCCAACAGCTGAACTGGGCGATCGCACAGTTAAACCGCCAATGCTGAATTCATTACCGCTGCGATAACGATACTTTGCTGCTTCATTGACTAACTACCATTAAACAAGAGCGTATATTTTAGACGTGTGCGACACAATAAATGGTAAGATACACTGGATTAATAATATAGACTAATCAAGCATACGTTATTTCCTGACATACTTGATCAAATGCGGGAAATATATAATCTGCAAATTGTATTTCGGCTATAGCGGTATGGCCCACCGAAGCCATGCCGATGCCAAAGCCAACTATTCCTTGTTCGGAAAGCGGGGTGTTAAAAACACGATCTTTACCTATAGTGATTGAAAACATTGCCCGATGATGAATAAGTGGTGACATGGTTCGATAACGTCTTGATTAATGAATTACCAAACATCTCTGCCAGTCCCAGAGTGCATCGAAATACGCCACCAAACGAAACATCTTCTCCAAATATGACTATAAAATCAAATTGTTTAATATGTTACTGTTCATTGTAAGCATTGTCATGGTATAAACGATGAATCAAACCACCCCGAAAAAAAGAACAGGCATACCGGCTGTTTCGTCTGTTGCTAACGCTATACACATGGCATCATTTACTCCTTGAAGCAAATTCATCTTCTTCGTCTCTCCTACGACACACATTCGAAATTTGTATCAGGCAATGAACTGTTATCCAAGTGTTCTTTTCTTTTTTCCTTGTGGTTCACATGAAACACATCACCTCCGACAACACCAGTATCAACCAACTCTGGATTTTTCAGCGCCTCTTCGTGAGTATGCTTTAAGAGTTTCGAACGAGCTAAACCGGGCATAAACCCCTCCGCAGGTGGTGGCGCATTTTCTCTGCATACTCTTGAAAGGTGAAAGGACTAAGTGTTGGACGTGTACGAATGATTGTTATAAGTCTGATACCAAATGGAAAATTGCGCACACAAGAGAACGCTTTGATACATACTCTTTTGCTATTTATCTTCCAACAGTTGGCTATGAGTGGTCTGGTTGCAGCGCGAAATGAACTCATTTTTTCCCAAGAGAAAAAAGGGGATCAGGATTCTGATCGCTATGACAAAAGCAATTGTTCGTTATTGTCCCGCTGATATGGAAATGGAAACGATTCGAACACACGTGATTTCCAGAAGAGGGAGTAAAAATTTCTGCATTTGGCTTTTACCTGGGGACACGTCGACAGCGGAATACACAGTGGAAGTCGATATAACGGACCGTCGACACGGCGGACACTAATTATAGGATTTTTTCTCTGGGACGGATTTACAAGTGTTATATTAAATTCTATTTAATAAAAATTCGATATAACGGACAAAAGTACGAAAAAGACTATGGTTCCGACTAGTCCATTATAATGACTTTTACTGTATATTTGCTCCGAATCGCTGCTGGCTTCAATTAAGAAACGATGACAGAATATTAAGAACTGAATTACAATTGTTATTAAAATTTTCTTACATCCAAAAAAAAGTGACATAATTTTTATTTACAAAGAACAGTCTATATGCATAGTTTGTTTATTATTATCATTTAATTGTTAACTCGAAGCAGCTCTATTAGCTGTGTTTAACAGATTAATTGTTAATATTGTTTACCATAATAATAACTATAATAATAAATAATACTTATTATTATTGCCAAAAATTTTTTAAATCTACTGTTACAATTTTGTGAAAAATAGAAATAGTAAGATTCCGTAGGCAGGATACAATTTGAAAAGGTGATGTATATTTATTAAACTTTAAGTTATAGCCTAAAATGCGTATGTTGTGCTTAAACTATGATTAGGAAATTCTCAACTCCGTCTAGACACAGTCTTATTAATTTACTCGCTTCAATTATGCGTTAGCTATGTCGAAATTACGTGCACTTGTATTAGCGGTAAAGGTGAGGCAATTTTACCGCCGACAATTATTTCGCAAATAGACATCAACATTATTTCAAAGTTATCTTTTGTTAGTAGTTGATTGGAAGTAAATGCACTGTCAGTGAAAATTATTTTCAGCGAAATGATACGGACCCGTTAGAAGGTACTATTAAGTATCAGTTTGACGTCACACCATCGAGAGCGCATTTAGAGAAAGTTGATTGTATGAAGTCTATTTTACATAATATCCGCGTCGGAGTGTAAACTTGTCCGTTATGTTAATTTAAAAATTGAAAGTGTTTAGGTAGCATTATTGTGCTTAGCTCTTAACAAACAACAAAATTTATTACAGCAGGTCAATTTATTATAATACATACACATTACATTGCAATTATGTAAAGTCATTATACTCTTCAACCTTTTTTCTCTCACATTTTCTGCATTTTTGCGTATTATAATTTCATTAATATTATTACTAACGCTAACATTGATATTAAGACTACTATTTAAATTTACATGCACTAAATTATAATAGATAATAGTTAAGGGACATGTCCCCCTCCGATGTTGTACTTAGTAAATTTTTCTTGTGCAACACGTGATCGTAAGATTTCAAGGCGAGAATTTTCCCAATAGCTGATATTGAACAGTTCTTG